TTTTAAATGAATACATTTATAACTTTTCTCATGATTAATTAATAGACATATCTTATCAAGTTATTAAAATAAACTGGACGTTGTTTAAAGTTGAAATTCACTTTGTGAAATAGAATGAGTGTATTGACTGGAGTGAAACCTTGACTACTGCCTTGCTGGGAAATTCTAATAGCACTTCAAACATGGCGAGAAGTGAGTATTAGGTATTTCTTCCTTCATTCTCAAAAAATGATGTCAGCTTTGGGTTAGCCTGTGCATGAAATTTCTAGAAGTTTCTGCGGGTCGTTATACTATAAGGAGTTTAGAGTACTAATAAGGAGCCATGTTACTAGATTTTGCCTTTATATTTTTGTACCATAAATCGACTAAACCGAGCGGTTTTCTAGAAATCCCCCTAACTCTTAATAATGATGTAAGAATGAAGATTACATTTTTTCAATGAATATGTAGTTGGCACTTTATTAAGAACTTAATTGTAATTCCAGTGATCTAACGAAATAGTATTAAAAGTTAATTGTCAATTATTGTATTTTCTTTATCTATCATCATAATGAAATTTTGTTTCAACTAATTTCAAAAGTAGAAGATTAAATAGTTTTTTTTAAGTAATACAGAAAGTAATTTGAGGAGTCTATAAGGGATAACTTTATAATTATTTAAGATTTTAATGTTTAAGTATTACATTCATCTAAAAAGGAATTGAATGAGTATCCATCATGACTTGTCTTAGGAAGAAAAAATAATTAAATAGGGTTTCCATTTATTATAGACTTGCAAAATTGGTTGCATGACATTTACTACTACAAAATTAATGAAAAAGTTTTATTAAAACCCAACTTATTTCTATCTGAACTCTGAAAAATGTATTATTTTAAGTCGAAAAATAAATAAAGAAAATAATATTATGATTTATGAAAAAATGCATAGAATTTTTTATTTGATATAATTTTTAGCTTAGTGAATGTGAAATTGTCAATTAAAGCTAATTTGTTTTAATAGGTAAATGGTTTAAGATAACTAAGATAAATATTTATTAATATATTTCATGAATATTCATCTCTTATATCTTAATTCCATAATTAATTTATTAAATTCATTTTGGTCTTGTTTGCAATACAAAAGTGCTTGCTCGTAATTCTCAATAGCTTATTAATACTTCTTCAAATCAGATAGTAAAGCACCTATAAAATAAACAAATAATTAACCCTTATTTTTATAAGCCTATACATAATTAGGATCCAATTAGATTGCCTTATTATAACAATCTATTGCATCATTATATTTCCCAAGATTCTTTAATGATATACCTATTACAATAAATTAATTAATAACCCTTATTATTATAAGCCAATGCATAATTAGGATCCAATTAGATTGCCTTGTCATAAAAAACTATTGCATCATTATATTTCCAAAGATTCTTTAATGATATACCTATTACAATAAATTAATTAATAACCCTTATTATTATAAGCCTATGCATAATTAGGATCTAGTTGGATTACATTTTCATAACAAACTATTGCATCATTATATTTTTCAAGATTATGTAATGATATACCTATTACAATAAATTAATTAATAACCCTTATTATTATAAGCCTATGCAAAATTAGGATCTAGTTGGATTGCCTTGTCATAACAAACTATTGCATCATTATATTTTTCAAGATTATGTAATGATATACCTATTAAAATACATTAGTTAATAACCCTTATTGTTATAAGTAAATGCAAAATTAGGATCCAGTTTGATTGCCTTGTCATAACAAACTATTGCATCATTATATTTTTTAAGATTATCTAATGATATACCTATTACAATAAATTAATTAATAACCCTTATTATAATAAGTCAATGCATCATTAGAATCTAGTTGGATTGCCTTGTCATAATAAACTATTGCATCATTATATTTTCCGAGAATATCTAAGGATAAACCTATTCCAATCATAAACTAATAATATACCCTTTCTGTTATATCCAACAATATATTTAGAATCATAATTTAAAGCAATATCAATGCATTAAATCGCTTATGAATTTTCCTTCAAATTTGATAAATCAAAACCTATTTAAAAAAATAAATGTTTACTTTTTCTATACAATGCATGGAGATGTTTAGGTTCTTCTATTAAAACCTATTCGCATTACTCAATGGCTATTTGATATTTCTTTTCATCATCTAATGCATAGCCTGTAAAAATAATTGAATATTTTAACTTTTTGCAATTAAAATAAATTTATTTTTTGGATTTTTCTTAAGTTCCAAATCTGAATACACCAATAAATCTCTATATAAGTTATTATTAATCTTCTTGGCTTATTCTCTCATTCTAATTCCTTTTCCAAATTGATTCATTTCAATTAAAGAAATACCTTAATTAATTAGATACATAATTTGTGATAACCTTAAAAAAATGTTGCAAATGATGATTGTTTCTCTAATAATTTTAAATTTTAAGTTATTTTTTCATTAGCTTCCTCCCATTTTTGTTAATTTAGTAATTCTATTCCTAATTTAATTTTGAATAAATTAAATACCTTATTCAAGTGTTATTTGATTATCTTGATATATACTTTTAATTTATTATTATTATTTGTTGTCTTAATCCAAAGTTTCGATCATTCTTTTTATACTAAGTAATTAAGTTCCTATAAATATTACTAATGATAAAATACCAATTTAATTCTACTTCATGATCTCTTCTTGATTATTTGAATATTAATACCATTCCTTTAACATTTACAAATTATCTTTGATTTATTTATAATCTTATTAATTTAAATCTTCAGATATCTTAAGTAATTATATTTTCATATTATCCAAATATTTTGTGAATTCTTCATATTTTGTTTTGATTGATGAATAGGATTTATTTAATTAGATATTCAAATCAAGTATATACTAATTGAATTTAGTGATAAAACTCTAAATTTAACAAAATCCTTTTAGATCTTTCTTACAATTAGTATGTTTTTTAGGATCAAATCCACATTAAAGACAAAACTAAGATCTTAAATCTTAGCATCCCAAATTTAAACAAAATCCTTAAATAACTTCTCCTTCATGTGCAATATCTTAACACGTAAACAAATTCTATTATTTCATTAAAATAAATTTTATTTTATAATTGTAATTTATATTTGATTAAATACATTTTTATTTCATTGAATTAATCGGAATTATCTTATTACATATTTAATAAGAACTAATTATGTTAAATAGGCTTATAATTCATTAATATACATCCTTCAATAATTAAATTTTATTATTATATTATTCAATACTTATCAATTTTTATAAAATAATATCTTTTATTTAATATTCTCGTTTTTTTTAATTAATTAATATCTATCAATCATTACTAAAATTATATATGTAAAACTACATTTTCATGAATGAGATCAATCAAATATAAATTTTAAATAAAATTTTATTATGATAAAAATATCAGAACAAACCGAAGAATAATCTTTTTAAGATTAATAACATACAAACTCTGAACTTATATGGAGTAAAAGAGAAAAGTTAAGAGAAAAAATCAGAAATTAAAAGTTTAATAGAATTTTTAATATAAATAGAGTTTAATCAAAAGCTCACACTAATGGTTAGTAATTACCCTAATATTTGTAACTCTGTATCCATTAAAATAGTGAGGAATGCAAATTTCATTACATCTACACAACTTTAAAAATACTCACTTATGGATATATTGATGACTTCATTTTAAAAAGATAAGTTGATTTTTTAATGTCCTAAAAAAGGATCAACAGAGAAAATATTCTCATCTTGAATTAATTGCACGATTAATAAGATTCAAGATAATAATACATAATGGAAAATACACCTACTATTATGGAAGATCTTTCAAATAAACCCTGAAATTAGTTAAGAAAATGGACTTTACTCATTAGATAGTCAATACGTTATCAAGAAAAGATAATAAATAGACCAAAAAGAAGATGAGAATTTAGAAAGATCATTTTATGTAATAAACTAAAACCATAAAACCAATTAATTCTTCCAGAAAAAAAAGAAAGAGTAGTGCAAAAAATTTATGGAATCAATTTAATAAACAAAGAAAAGCCCATTTAAATTGATCATACAAAAAAATCCAAATAATTAGGTATATCACAATAAAAATCCAACAATGACTTCTAGATAGACTTGAATAGATATTTCAATTTATGTAAAGTTATCTTTAAAAGTACCATTCTACCATTTATAAAAATAATAATATTTGAGGAATCAATTCAGGTAAATCAGATATGTTCTACTGACCATGATTACAAAAGCAAAAAAACAAAACGAGCATATGCTCATTAATTATAACATCATTAGCTCCAACTTGATTAATTGTGTTTACATGAAACGCACCTTCAATGAAATATGATACTCTAAAAATTGCCAAATAAAAGATAATATGCTTTCAAGAAACCAGAAAAGAAATACTCTTCTATATATATTACAATAGATTAAGAAAAGAAAATCATACCAGGGGACGCGGGATAATGGTCGGAGTTTACAATTAAATCTTCACGAAAGATATTTCAAATGTGATTCCTCAAATAGACAAATAATCATAATAGATACTGATCTGAATAGCTGGATAAAGACTAGAAATATTCATATTGAATATCTAATCACCAAAAAAAAAATTCTTCTAAATATCAAAGAAACAATTGGAGAATTTTTAAATCAGCTTATAAGGGTAAAACACAAAGCCATTCTTATTGTTTGTGGCGACAAAAACCAATTGAAAATATATCTGCTACAATTAAAAGATACACCAGATTTAATTGAAAATTTTGGGGACAATCTACTGATTTCACTCAACAAAGCCTTTCCAAACATTCCTCAGAAAGATTAATTTAAACCAATCTTAGTGTAAACTCCAATAATGAAATGGCTGGTATGAGGTTCTTTAAGAAACTCTAATAATACTGTGAAAAAAAGATTATAAAAGAATAATTTTGTTTTGTACAAGTAACTGGAACAAAACCACAGATATTAAAACTCATAACAAACATGTTATATTTCAAGAAAAAAGATAATAGAGTCGTTATTTTTATAGACTTCTGTTCAGCCTATAACTTTTCATAAATAGATGAATTATTTATTTTTCTCACAAAGCCTTATGAGTTGGCAGTACATCAAAAGGAAAAATAAAAAGATAGCTTTTTTAAATGGAATACCATTAGGAAGTGTTTTATCGCTGTTTCTTTTTCATAGATACTCACACACCATAATAAAAAAAATGGAAAAAATATAAAATTTCAGCAGAATTGACCATTACTACATATATACAGATGATGTAGCCTTTATATGCAAGGAGAAGTATCTTGATTCCATATTAGAATGTCTTAATAAAGCTTTTTAAAATCTAAATCTCGAAATAAATACAAAAAATGCGCCATAATTAGAAAAACCAGAAGATTATTGAATTCAAAACTATTAAAATAAAATATTTTACTTGGTATTTATTTTCAAAAAAATTATAAATATCAAATATTCAAGAAAGAAATTAGATTCATGCTTTTAGAGAATAAAATTATGAGAAAATATTGCTCTAAAATTAAGGTTAAACTGTGCCTTAGAAATTAATTAGGCATAAGGAAAGTGATGAATAGGAGAAGAAGAATGTGTCTAAAATAGAAACCTTTTCATTAAACTAAGCCTTATCATTTGGGATAAATTTTAAATGTATTTTTTAAGAGACATAACAAAATAAATGATACTAATTTGGTCATAAAAGTTTATAGCATATTTACTAGAACAAAAAAGAATTGAATAAAGCTTATAATCAAAATTATAAATAGTATTATAGGAAAAAACTAAAAAGATATGTATGAAACTAACTTTGAAAGGGTAATAGAAGCCATAAAATTTTTAATGGCTTACATTAGATATAATGCTTTAAAAGGGTTTAATTCTAAAGTTGAAATTTACTGGATAAGAAATTTCTAAAGATCTAATTGAGTTAAATTATTGAAAATCAAGTCTTTAGTTGATTTTCCATTTCATATAATCTTGACTATTTTGAACTTATAATTAGTCTCCAAATATATATAAGGAGTCAAATTGTTCAGGAATCAATTTATTATTTTTAAGGGGTCACTTTTTTAATCTTTTGTATTTTTTTAAATCTGTTGTATGGCTTAAGAATATTTGTATTAAGAGTTTGATTTTCTTTAAAAATTTAAATATTGTGTAATTAAAATTTTTGAAAGAAATTACGGCTTTTTAAATAATAAGAATTAAAAAGCATTTAAGTTCAATTCTTTTTTGCATTCATACTTGTGGACTAGAATAGAAAGCTTTATTTTATATATTAGACTTTTTTTCAGGATATGGTTCCATTTATTATAATTCATTTATCATATAAACTTAAATTCCTATTCCTTACCTTCTTTTCATCTTTTTATTCTATCCTTCAAAAATGATTGCTCCCCTTAGTGAATGTTATTGATCAACCCAAAAATTATACACAAAGATATTACAAATAAGCATTTGAGAGATATCCTCCATACTGTAATAAAATCAAGTAGCCATTAGTATTCTACTATATGTAAAAAGAATTAATTTAATTTAAAATGAAAAAAACACAATCGTTTTTCTTTTTTCTTGTCCTTTTAGGTGGATCTGGTTTAAGAGTTCCAGCTGAGGTATTGGCCTTTAGACTGTGAGTATTAGTCTAAGGCGTTTCCTCAAACATTTCAGAATGTCTCTAACTAGGGCTGAATGAGAGTACTTTTTCTTTCTTTCTTCTTGGCAACTTTAGTTGGTTATAATTTAAATAAATGTACAAAACAAATTTCACTTTCAGGCGAGATTTAAAAGTAAATAGATTATCATTCTATAAAAATTGAATAAAATAATTAAACAAATAATCAAACAACCAATTTTTTCTTATTATCTTTTTTTTCATCTTATTAAATTTTATTGATTTTTTCTAACACTTTCACTTTGATAGATTAATTATCAGAATAGGATATACTTAGGCTTGATTTCATTATATCAATGATCTCTTAAACTGTTTACTCAAGATAAAACTCATCAATTTTTAACTCTATTTCCAATAGACATTGTTCATTTTTACATCACTGCTATTGTTGAGAGATAAAGGGATTTATTTCATATTCAACTTATAAAAATGTATTTTTGCATTATTCAAATATTTAACAATATAAAATCTAAAATATTAACCAACTTAGGTAACAACCAAGGTCTTGACTCTCAATTTTGACTTGCTTATTTCCATTTGGTATCTGGCTGTTAGACCCAGAAAAATTTCTTAAAAACCATTATCGTAAATTGCACTTGTGGAAATTAAATATTTACATTTCTCAGGGTATAATATTTTAAGTTAAATTTAAATTATTAATACTATCATACCTTTTAATAGAAGAAGATTAATCAATAATATTTAATTTTCTAAAGATATTTATATCTTAGATCGATTTCATGTTGATTATATTTTTAATACTTTTCTAAGCATAAATTATACGAAAAAACATAAATCTTGTTGGTTAATATGGATGAAAAAAGTTTAAAATTCAATATCTCAATGTATAATATTTTCTTATTATCTTATTCTACTAATGTATTAATTTTTGATACATATATCTCTTATCTTTATCTCTCCTTTAGATCTTGCTAAAAGTGATATTCAGGTTTTTGGTTTAAATTTTAACTAATAATTTTCATTTAATTCTTTCTTTTATATTGATATATCCTGAGATTTTATTTCAATTCACTTAATTCTTTTATATGAAATATCATCTAATTAAAAAATTATTCTCTTTTATATTAATAAAGTATATATGATTCAACCATCTATTATTTTAACTTTTAACTTAATGATAAATTTACTAAGAAAATATAACATGCCTATTCTTGGATATAATTGTTTATATAGGATGAAAGACTCATCTATTATATTAGATTATCGAAGATGGATAATAGATTTTTAAATATTATTTAGTTTATTTTAAGTTTTCCAAATAAAGAGTGTATTAAGGTTTTTCTTTAATTTTAATAATTATGCATTTCTAGTTATTTAACTTTGCCTTAAAATCTTTGATGTTTACTTGAAATGTTTTTAAATTAGAGACATAGACTATTCTTGCTATCTTAACAATCCCAATTCTTAACTCTTTTTTTTTATCATTGGTTTTTTTTTCAGATTATGTAATTAATTTGCCTTACTTTTTATTAGCTACCTTTTTTATGATTATATAATTGAAATTTGCGTTCTTAAAGAATAATATTGTTTAGAAAAAAGGTCAAGTTGCCACAATTCAAGTAATTCTTAAATAAGAATGAAACTAGTATTTTTTCTTAATTTTGATTAAAGATGGATTTAAATATAAACTCTTGAATTTCATATTAATAAAGTTTTAATAACAGTTTGTATTTTGAAGATAGAATCAGTTTTTTTTTATATAAAGTAATCTCATAAGTTGAAAGCCTTATTATGAGAAAGTTATGCTTAAAGTCTAAAAATATAAAGAAGAATCATTAAGCTCTTTAATTTCTATCATAAAAAGAAAGGGCATTTGAGATTCTAAATAGCATTTTCTGTCTTTATTAATCATGATATTTCTACATATATAAAGCAATTTTCATTTGAAGTTTATAAAATAAAAATTATCTTGTCAGTTTTAAGGTTAATAGTTTAATACCAAAGTGTATTTAAAAATAAGAAACATCACAAAAAGTAAGAAAAATGATGATTGAAACTTGATGAAAATTAGACATTGAAATTAGTATAAATATATATATATATAAGAAATCATCCTCTTATTTATTTAAATAGGCTATGATCATTATTTATTATTCTCTTGTTTTAAGAAGAAAAATCATTGGAATTTAATTATCACTCTTTAACATAATTTTAACATCATTTTGCTCAAAATTTAAGTTCAGGATCAAATAAATAATGGATGTTGATATATAAAGTATTTTTTTTAATTTATCCTTATCTTTGCGGAAATCTTAATTTTATCAATTCATATAAATTAATAGCTTTAATACATTTATTAAAAATAATAAACTTAAAAGACTTTCAATCAATGATAAATCAGAATAATCCTGACAAAACATAAGTATAAAAATGATTTACGCAATTTGTTGACTATTCCTTATTCTCTATATATTGCAGAGCAAGAATTGATAAGTTATATTATTATTATTTAATAATCAAATTATTTTTTTCACAATTATTCTTCCCTAATACTCATTTTCACCCATGGACCAACTTTATTTCCATTTTGATATTCACCTTTTTAAGTGTATTATTAATCAAACTCAAAATCATCATCTAACTCAATCCACTACCCAGCCTTAATTGAACCTCCTTATACCTCATAATACAAGCCTCCGCCGCTAAAATCTTTTCTAATATTTATACATTAATTCATAAGTTTTTTTTTCTTCCTCCTTAAAAAAAATATCCCATCTACCAATTTTGTATCCATTTTTATATTCACCATTGAAAATGACTTACGAATTATTTTCAAATCCATCATTCAGCTCTCTCCATTCACCATTTCTTTAGCCCTATTCATTATAAAATCCACCACCACTAAAAAATTTATTATTTATTATTTTTACATCAATTATTAGGTTTCTGTTCTATTCTCTTTAAAAAAAATATCCCATCTACCAACTTTATTACCATTTTTATATCCACCATTGTGAGTTACTTATGAATAATCTTAAAATCCATCGTTTAATTCTATCCACATACCATTCCTTAGACCTTAATAACTATACATTCCACCACCACTAAAAAATTTGATTTAACTTTTACATTAATTCCTAAGTTTGACTTCCTTATTTGTAATACAAAATATCCCATTTACCTACTTTTTTACCCTTTTTATATTCACCATCATAAGTGATTTGTGAATATAAATTGAACCCATCACTGTATTCTTTCCATTTTCCAATCTTATTTGAACCTCCATCAACTTCATCGTATAATCCACCATGAAGATTTTTTTTTTTTCTTATTAATAATTTAAAAATTTACTCATTTTGTTCCAAAGATTATTCATACCATCTACCGACTTTTCTTCCATTTCGATATCGACCGTGATAAGTGACTCTTGAATAGTAGAGATAGCCATCGCTCAATTCAATCCAAATTCCAATTTTAACTCCTGTATCATATGATCCACCTCCACTAAGATTTGATACTTTTCAATATTTTACATCCTTAGATATCTGTTTTGCCTTTGATCCCGAAACAAACTATACCATCTACCCATTTTTTTCCCATTTTGATATTCACCATTGTGAGTGACTTGATGGGTGCTCAAAAACAGATCACTTAACTCAACCCAATTCCCAATCTTGATTGAGTCTCCCTAAACCTCTTCATACAATCCACCACCACTAAAAATTTGATTTTTAATATTTAGCAATTAATCTTACATTTTTCGCTCGCCTTCATAATTAAAATGAATATCCCATCTATCGATTTTTCTCCCTTATTTATATCTACCATGATACGTAACTTATGAATAAATCTGAAATCTATCACTCAACTCAATCCACATCCCATTTTTAATTCCGATATCATATGATCCACCTCCACTAAGATTTGATACTTTTAATATTTACATTTACTGAAATATATTCTGCCTTTGTTCCCTAAACAAAATATCCCATCTACCCACTTTCTTACCATTTTGATATTCACCATAATAAGTGACTTATGAGGAATTAAAAAATCCATCACTCAACTCTACCCATTTACCTTACTTTTGTCCTTATTTATTATAAAATCCTCCACCTCTATATAATTAATATATAAATAAACATAATTTTATTGTCATAGATATATTTCCACTCTCCAATTTTTTAATCATTGAAATATTCTCCATTTTCACATATTTCTGCTTAACTATATTTAAAAATGAATAGCAAAATACCTCCAATAATTCTTAGTAAATTCATTCCATAAACCTTACTTTAAACCATTCTCATAGTAACCCCCAACTTCTTTATAATCTGGACCTTACCAATTAGCTTTCCATTTGCCAGACTTTCTGTTATTTTATTCAAACTCACCATCCCAATGAAGATATTTTATCTAATCAATATTATTAAATTGATCATGATGCTTTTACTTTTCTGAATGTTATTCGCTTTTTATAAAAAGAATGATCTCTTACATTCTCAAAACCTTCCCATCCAACGAATAATATATAAAGTTATCTTCAGTAAATGTCATTTGGACTTTAACTTTCACAAGTCTGAAATGAATTTAATCCCACATATCAACCTCTAATTCTTTATTACAATTTTCCAACATTATAAACTCATGGCAAATCAAGTTATCTGATATTTAAGACTTCCTCATTTAAATATTTATTGAATTTCGATTTATATGATAATGCTTGATATAAAATAGTTAGATATCATAAATTTAACTTAAAGGTACCGAAAATGAAATCTTTAGGAAGATATAAGGATTCTTGTGGTATAAATTAGATCAGGAAACAAAGCAATTCATTTAATAGAAGCAAAATAAGGAATATTTTTTTTAAGTTCAATCTTGAAAGGAAAAGCAGATCTGTGTGAAGAAATTGAAGACAATATGAAGATGCTAGGTGCAGAAGTAAAAGAAGAAGAGAGAGATAAGCTTAAGAGTTTGCAACAATTGGACATAAGCAAAGATTGGGAAGGAAAAATAAATGAGGTGGAATAAATTTAGAATATCTTGGACAATATTAAATCAGAAAAAACAGAAACATGAGTGAATTAATAATTAAAGTAGCTAATGAAATCTAAATAAAAATAAAAAAAGATTTTGAAATTTATGAGAAAAAAGATAGATAATTACAGTGTGAAAAAATAAGTCAATATCTGGTAATCAAGATTATGGGAAATATATTATTATTAAAAAAACAATTTAATTGTGATGGCAAAAATAAGGTAAAGTTTTAAGATCAGCTCCTTATACGAATCAATTTCTTTTAACCCTTAAATTTTTAATGTTGTATGAACAATCTTATATTAATTTGATTACGTTTGCCTAAAAAACCATTTTCTCTTCCATTGATCCTTGAGAATATTTAATTGAAAGAATCTTAATAATCATCAAATTAGGTTGTTGGCTTATAAGGTCAAGGTGCAATAAATAAATACATATAATCAATTTAGAAGGTTACAATTAGAAGAAATTTCGTACCTCTTAAAAAAAAAATAATTGGTTAATAAATTTTAGTAAATTGAAAAATTAATCATAAAGTTGAAATAATGATTATAGGAAGACGAGCTGATTAAAAATTAATAAAAAGAGAAGAAACATCAGACAGTTGTAAAGACAAATTCCCTTTTCAGTTAATTATCTGATCAAGAGTTATAAACTCTTTTGCTGAGTTGTTTATTAATTAAGGAGGTGAATATCTCCTTAATTATTTTAATATTATTATTATTCCAATATTTTTTGATATTATTATTTTTTCTATATATAAATGTTTAAATGTTTAATAATACTCATTTGAGGCTTCATAAATTTTTCTTTGATCCTCTACCTCCTCTTGGATTCTTTTTGTTGGATTTATTCAATTTATCTTAACCCTTCTA